AAGTTCCAAAGGGATAAGGGTTGTTGATTGATTAATTCTAGGAGAAAAGACGATTGTCATCTTAAGGGAGAACACTCGACTTAACCACCACAACTTGTAGGAGATGGTCTTTGCATCGTCTTGAGAGAAGGGCCCAAACACTCGGATTTATCGACGAGTATGCCACTATCTTCCTCAAGCGGAAAAGATCTACATCACATGATTGTGTTATGGGGCAGGAGAATTACATCTCGACTGTCAAGATGACTAACATCTAATTCTCTTATATGGAGAATAGTTTGAATTGAGTTGAATAATGTTTATCTATGTTATAAAAGAAAAAAGGTCCTCCTTAAGGGGTAGGATCTAAACTTAAGTTGATCGACTTGAAAGTTAAAGAATCGAGCGGGGAAAAATGATGCATATGAGGATGCAGTATGCACAAATTGTTAAGTCATGCGTAGGTTCTTCCTTTGGACATGCAATGCGAGAACGATAAATAACGATAAAAATAAGATCCAAATAATAGATATAGAATGCTAAAATCAGACAAACGCGGGGTCATGGATATTCAAAATAAATCGGAGGATAAGAAAAAATGGAGACGCGTTGATTAAATTATGTGAAATTGATTTTAAGAGAAAACTGGATTAGAGGATGAATTAGTTTTTTTTAGTGAAATTAAAGATTAAAAATTAAATAGGTGTTCTAATTAATAAATTTTTTAAATAAGGAAACCTTAAATAGAAAAGAGGTTCTTATGATTATTAAATAAATTAAGTTAATTAAATTATGAAATAGGTTTTTTCATTAAATATATAAATAACTTTAGTTATTAATAAAATACAAGTTATTTAGAAAAATAGGTTTTTATTATTATTAAGAACATGAACAAATTAATTAAGTTTTCTAAAGAGAAATAAAATAAGTGAATAAGAGTTTATTAAATACAAAGGGATATTATTATTATTATTATTAGGTAGAAGTTAAATTAAATTAAATGAAATGGATTTTTGATTAAGAATATGAACAAATATTATAATTAAAGGGTTATTAAAATTGATGAAATTAATTAAATAAAGTGAATAGAAATAAGTTGATTTTATTAAATAAAGAGTAAACTAATAAATTAATTAATTAAGAAAGTTGATTAAATTTGAATAAATAAGCTAGTTAATTAAAAAAGTTAATTATAAAATAGGTTATAGTTGGTTTTAATTAAAAACTGATTAGAAAAGACTAACCATGGGTTAATTAATTGAATTAATGCTGAGTGAATGATTAGTTATCTAAATTGGCAGATTAAGGGATTGATGGTGGTTAAAAAAAAGATTAGTGAGGCGTGCGATTGGGTGTGGTAGGCCAGAGAAGGCCTACCGTGAGGGTCCAGTGTGTGGATCGCGTGGGTGGATCAGGTGGTGATGAGTGGTGACGATCGTGTGGGTGCATGGGATTTACCGTGGACGTGCGTGCATTGGATTACAACATAAAAACAAAAAGCCAGAAAAGCCTAGAAGCCAAATCCTTCCTCCCTTTTTCGTCGTTTCCACTCTTGTCTCTCTCCCTCTTCGTTTTCATCCTCTCTTCATTTCTTCTTCTTTCCGCGAATCGCTCTCTTTTCTCATCCCTCTGTCTTCATTATTCTCTCTTCTCCTTTCTCCTCTTCTATTCTCTCATCACAATCCTCCCCTTCTCTCGATCCATTTTCTCTTCTTCTTCCTTAGTTCTCCGCTCTCTCTTCTTCTTTGTTCCTACATCAATCAAACAAAACAACAAAAAAACAAAGTTAAGAATGTTAGAAAAAGATCTCACGATTCAAAATGTTTTTTTTTAGGTTTTAACAACGGCTCGCGAAGGATGGAGGGTTTGGATGGCGATGGCGATTTTCGGTGAAGGTTTTCGATGACGACTGTGAAAATAACGAGGGTTTGAGGGCGATGGCGATCTGAGGTATGCGATAGAGGTTTTGAAAATATGAGCTTCTTCTCTTTACAAAATTATTTTTTAGGGTTTTACGATTTGGGATTTTTTTTCCCCTTCTGTGAATTGTTGTCTTCTCCTTTTTATAGCGTTTACCAATTCTGCTAATTAAATCATGGTAAATTCTTTTCCAAATCCGTATGAACATGCTTGTCCGAGTTTGGAAAACAGTTTAAGACTTTGTCCCTCTTTGAATGGGTTCATATGGAAACTTTCTGTTTTGAGTTGTGTCCATTAATGAGAATTGTTTGTCGATGATTGTATTTGAGGCATCCTGATTTCTTCCTTAATTAGAACTCCTCTAATTGTTTCGATGTTGACTGTTGCAGAAAGTTGAAGATGGTGACAATAAAGCATGGCTCTAACGTGACATTTCGTTGCTTAGGAACTCGGTTGTGAGCTCGTACGTGAAGACTAGGGCTTCAACGTTCTTTGATTTTTAGGACAGTCTAACAAACTTTTGCCAAGGGCCCCTAGGATGATGCCAGTGGTCTCTTGATGCTGCTTTCTCTAATTTGTGATGATGATGACATCTCCTCTGAACAAATATGCAGTGCTTCTTCTACCTTTGATTAAAATTGATAGATGGGTGCTTTGTCTGCTCTGTTTGAAGAAGAGTTTGGAACGGAAACCAAAGTTATTTCCTTTCGGATTTCATTTTTTGAACCGTATTAATATTTCTTCTTCTTCTTTTAGGACGTTGTTTTAGTTTCAGATACTGCCTGTCTTATGCTGTCGAGAAAGGGTTCTCATATTTGGTGATAATGACGTAATAGTCTGAACCATGAGGGCTTGAAATTGTTGTTGTTGCTTTTGATTTGTTTAGTGTCTTATGATGCTTCTGAGTTATGTTGAAGGCTGTTCGAAAATTGTTTTATCTGAAATTGTTGTTGTCTTAGAATTGGAAGATGGTAGCGAGTTTCGTTGTCCTTCCTTGCCCAATGATGATTCTAAAATTTGAGGGCCATAAATTTATTTCATCTCTTTTCTTGGTTTCTAGACATCATTTTATTTCTTTAATGGCATTTTGCAGGTGGCAGGACTGCCGTTGACGGTTTCATCACTTGACGAAACTCGGAACAAATAGATCCAAGGCTTGTGGTATAGTGATCGATGACAATGACATTTGTCATGTTTTCGATCTTTCAACATAGTCTGACACATTTCTAAAGCTCAAGTAACATTGTCCTCCTTTTCAATTTCCAAAAATAAAAACCCAACCAGAAAAGTATTTTCCATACAAGTAACACCAACAATTTCCAATAATGGAAGCATGTACTTGTTGGTCTTTTACATTGAATTAATAATAAGTACAATGGAAAATATGTTGAATATCTTTATGGAATCAGGATGACTTCAAAATATATCTCTAACGGTTTCTCGTTCCTCGCACACTTTGTACCTAGATACATAATGGTTATCATCCAAAAGCTTCAACAATTGTTACATTTCAGTTTTACCCCCTCTTTTTGCCTTGTTGTTTCGGGCACGAACATTGTATACTTTCTTGATATTTCAGTTTTACCCCCCTTTTTTTGTCATGTTAGAAACGATTTCCTTTTCTTCAGTCTTAAGGTGACATGCAATGGGAAGGCCAACAAACTTGCGACACATGTCATGATTATGTATACCACAAATCACATTAAATGTCCATGTATTGTTCACCATAAGGTATTCACGCAACTTAAAAGTACACTTACATTTCCTTGAACTGATGTCATCCTATTTCAACTTCTTGATAGAATTTGTATACTTGTCACTTATTTCGCATGCCAGTGTCACAAATGTATGTCTTCTATCTGAACTATTATTTGACCTTGCGATTACAACATCAAACCTCAATTTGGTAGCCTTTGTGCAGATCCGTTGGAGCATATGATCACGAACAACAAACTCTTATTCATTTGTAAATTATTTGCCAACATCTACCTTGATATCAGTTAATTTGGCATTCATAGACACAATAAGTTTGAGGACAACATTAGGGTGCATCATATATAAGGTCAATCATCACAGAAAACATTCAAACACGGGTCAAATTCAACTCTAGACTAATCCAGAAATACAATTTTGGATGACATTCAACAAAAATTTGGAAATGTATTTTCGAACGCAACATTCGTTTTTTCAAATAGAAAAACAGATTAATGTAAGTAATGAGGAATGAAATACATGTATATTATCTTGAACCCTAACTTTTTTTGCTACTTTTGATGTGAAAAAATAGAGAAATATTGTTTTGAAGTAGAAAAGTTGGTTGAGTGTGAAGATTTGAAGAAAAAATTTGTATTTTGATCATAAGTGAAGCAAAGAAGCAAGGTGATGTTTTATTATATTTCCTGCTTGACATTTTTGAAAATGCATTTCTGAATTATTTGTTGAGTTGAAAAATATATGCAGGGTGGTATTTTTTTTTCAAATTTTCGCTTGACAAATTTAGAATTGTACTTCCGTATTTATCAATAAGTTGTTAAATTAACAAAATAATTGAAAGGGTTTGTCTGTAAATATACTTTCAGACTAACTTTTAAAAAAATAGAAGTGTGTCTTACTTAGAGCGTGATTTAGTATAAAATAGATGTATCCGAAAATATATTTTTAGAAAATATTTTTGAATCCCCATATAATATTTCTCTATCACTAAGGGCATTTCTTCATTAACATTCCACATGCTTATATGTGATAAAAATAAATAAAACATGAATAAAGATCTTGCTACCCTAATTCCACAAGGTTGCAATATCATATGCAAAAAAAAATATATATATATTAAAAGAATGAAAAGAATATTGTTTTTCATTTATAAATTGTCAAAATTTTCCAATAATTGGAATATGAATAAAGAAGAGAAGCAATCTATATAAAAAATGTCCAAGTTAAATGAATACATCCATCTCTCATATTAATTTGACATTGTTTTTTCTATGGACATATATAAATATACCCATAGGTAGAAAACCAATGAATGAATGAATGAGGTCATAATAATCTCAACTACTCACTCATCCACATGGAAGAAGAAGAAAAAAAAGTTATATTTTTCATTTCATGTCTATTATATCATCAACAACATCTCTCTCATTGATTTGTAGAATTTTCTCAACAGCTTCTTTCAAATCACATCTTTTCTCAATATCTTCTTCACAACAAGTCAATGCAATTCTCAAAAGCTTATCCATCTCACCCTCACCATTCATTGTGTCACCCATTTCTTTATCAAACACTGAACTATTCCATTCCTCAGGTACTACTGAGTACACCCAATTTGCTAAACTCACCTCACTTCCTTTCCCTTGTTGTAAGAATGTAGCTGGAAATTTACCAGTTAGGATCTCTAGTATTAGTATTCCAAGTGACCAAACGTCACTTTTCTTTGTGATTCTTCCATGTTGAAGATATTCTGGGGATTTGTATATTACCATTATGTCTTTGGCCATTTCTTGGTTGGTGACGGGGACTAGTCCGTAGTCTGTGATGATCGGTTCGAATGTTTCTGATAGAAGGACGTTTGAGGATTTGAGATTTCCATGAGGGGCTATTAGGCTTGGCATGTCTTTGTAGAGATTTTCAAGACCTCTTGCTACTCCTTTCACTATTTTCAACCTTGTTGGCCAATCAAGGCTTGGTTCTCCTAGAGCTTGATGTCCTGCAACACAAAAGGTAACCATAAGAAAACAATATAAGTGAACAAAATACGGACACGACTAGCGAATCAAACTTAGATACTTCTGATCGATTAGGCCTTGAAAATATTAGAAATGAGTTTCTACGCATATAAGACATACCATGAAGGCGAACGGCTAGACTTCCATTCTGAACAAAATCAGTAACTAAAAGCTTCTCTTCTTTTCTATAATAGTAAGCAACAAGAGGAATCAAGTTAGGACAATTCAATCTTCCAATCCTTCTCATGTGCTCTTGAAACTCTTCCTTCCCTACATTATTCATTTGTTTAAACCTCTTCACCACTATTTTTGGTCCATTCACCAAAGAAGCTTTATAAGAAGAACTATAACAACCACTTCCCAAAATCTCGGCAGAAGCTCTCAACAACTCTTGCAGATCAAATCTCTCTCTGTCGTCTCTTATAAACGACAACTTCATCTGATCTGCTTTTTTACTACGGCTCGAACCCGACGATCTTGTTGACCTTATACTGTCGTTACCCGCATCTTTATATCCTATTTTGTTGCCATGGTGGCCTGAAGGCGGATTCTCGAGAGTCGATGATGGCTCTCGGTTTCTTCTTCGATGAAGGATGAAAAACACTGTGACTCCAATCACAATCAATGCTACACAAACAACCACAACCACCATACAAATACTTGCGATCGATGGCTTCTTTGCAGCACATGCTGCTAATGGTGCTCCGCATAAACCTTCATTCCCTGCTCATCATTTCATAACATAAACATTTATATCATATAATGCATAAACGATACATGCATGTCAGGGCCGTCTTGCAGGGTGTGCATGACGGTCTATAGCACATGGCCTCAAATTTTCCACGGACCTCATAATAGGTTTGTCACAGTTTAATCATGGTTAAATAGGACCTCTAGTTGTTTTGTCTCAGTTGAACCGTGACTAACCTCAAGAGGATTTCTAAAAACTTAAGACGGCTGTGATGCGCGTGAGTGTGCACGCGAGAGTATATTAATTAGATGACGAGAATTGAAACTCACCTGCGAAGGAAGAAGCTTGGATTTTATCAAGTGTGGTTGGGATTGGACCCTGCAACTGATTATTAGCTACATTGAATGATTTCAAAGATTGCTTAAGATGAGGAATAGGACCAGTGAATTTGTTTCCATCCAATCTCAATTCCATAAGCTTTGGCAACAAAACAATAGAAGGTGGAATAAAACCGGTAAACTGATTATTTGACAGATAAATTTTCTTCAACCACTGCATACCTACAAAAGCATCAGCAGGAATATCTCCGGAGAATTTGTTATTCGAAAGATAAACCGATTTAAGACCGACGAGTTTGTTAATCTCAGGCCAAGCACCATCAAAATCATTATGCATGAAACTAATAGTTCTAAGATATGGTAGCTTCTTAAGAGAATCAAAATCAATGAACCCTTTTAACCCCATATTCTCAAGTTTCAATCCCCAAACTTTTCCATTATAACAACGAACGCCGCGCCAGTTGGATTTATCGCCGTTACAAGGAGATGTTGTTGTGTTCCATGATGTCAATAATGTGGCATCTTTTTCTAGATTGTCCTTTACCATGAGGAGCAATTCAGAGTCAGAAGCGGCATAAGATAATGAAACAACACATGACAAGAAAACCAATATGATGAATATGGTTCTGTTCTCAATAGCAGTGATTAGTTCTGCCATAGTGAATAAGGGTCAATGACACACACGCGCTACGGGCGGCGTGTGCGCCCCCAGAATGAGTTTGAATCTCAATAGAGATAAAAGGATAAGAGGAGCTACTTGGGGTGAAGAAGAAAATGGTAGGAGGGTGGAAAAGTTTAGAAGACATTGAAACAAGAGAGAGAAGGAAGAAGAAAAGGAAAGCTAAAAATAGAAGACAGAGAAAAGTTTAGATGGCATTGAAACAATGGGTAGAATTATTCGGACAGCCATGAAATTGAAACAAGACAACAATTTTTGTTTGCCTATTTTTAAGGTTTCTGTTCCGTTGACTCAACCTTCTATGTGCCTTTTTCTTCTTTACTTTAGAAACTGGTTGGAAAACAAAGATATTAATCTATTGTTATGAGAAACTGAGTTATAAGATATAATAAGCCACGAAAACAAGTAATGATAAGTATATATTTTAGTTTCAAATATTACTTTATGTTTAATAAAAAGCATTTTTAGTTCATGTAAAAAAATAATACATATTAAAGAGACTAATTTATTTTTGGAATAAAAGGGACTAATTTTTTAAAATTAAAATAATAAACATTGTCGTTTTAGAAAATTAGTCTATGTTTTTTCAAAAACATGATTCAAGTCTTAAATATGATATGGAAAACTTAATGATTATCAAAGGGTAAACACAATCAAAATTCAAAAACATCCAAACAACATTATAAGATTAATTTTTATGCATCAACAGTATAAAATTTGTTTTCATGTGCATCAACAACAGCATTATAGAATAATTTAATTAAATGCATGTATACAAAAAAAATACAAAATATGTAGTCATTTAATATTCTTAACATTTAATATTCACCCTTAAGAGTCGTTTAAGAAATGATATCTTTGATATAAATCAACTTTTCTACAACTTAACAAAGCTCTAATCTTTTAGAATGAAGCATTTTTCTTTGTCAAAATCTTCATACCCTACATCAACTAGACATAGGCCATCAGGAGGTGCTGGAGGAGCTGTGGCACGCCTACATGTGGCATCCATAAGCTTTAGCAAGGCATCATCTTCAGCACCAGCTGCAGCTTCTCTAATCGTGGTTGCCACAAGCACTCGAACCATCTGCGAAAATGTGATTAGCCTCAGCCAAGTCAAAGTGGAAAAAAATTAAAAATACACCGAATTGGAGAAGACAGAACCTATACTGAATATGGTTTCCACCAAGGAAATAAAAAACATACAACGGTTACCTTGCGTAAAAAGCGATTAGCTACCAACTCAATGCACATAACCCTCGTTTCTTCTCCATTTTCCTAGAAATGTCACAAGTGAAATGAAACATGAATAAGCTTCTCTTCAACATCAAAGAACTGTGTATAACTAAGGAGTCTGAGTTAAAGCGCAACTAGATAGTACTAAATTCCTATTTTAATTCTGAAGGACAAGACTTGAAAAATGTCTTGGAGAATGTAATAAATACAAAAAAAAAAAAAGTACTGGCATAAGAATCCGTATTGCTTTTGAATAGTACAAACCTGAGATACAAGGGTTTCATGGCCTAGTTAAATATTACACAGGAAAACACAAAAGGCATTCTTGTCAAGGTTATATAGATGAAGATGAAGAGAAGGAAAGCCAAGGGCATATAAGTCATTTAACTACAAATATTATGGACACGTGAAATCTGTTTGTTTCCTCCACTTAGAAAGATGTGGTTAAGTCATATTTGGATGCATCAAACATGTTTGGTAGGTGGGCTAATGTATGATTCATAAATTTTTTTCTAGTCTTCTTCTAGCATTTCTCACAAATTATCTCTGAAGATTCCTGTCATGCAAAAAATAATTTAAACCATGTGTATGTATAAAAGTCATGACTGATGTCAAGTGGCATTAACAGATTTTGTTTTCACTTAATTTTCATGTGTGTACTACTATTTTCCACTCTCCTTTTCTCATTTTGCTAGATAAAAACTATCATTTGCTATAACTTTGACCCTTTCACTTCCAAAAGTACCCAAAAAAAAACAGTATATGCTTTACTATGCAATGTGAATGTGAATTATATTGAGGCTGAAGACCCAGCTCAAACCACCAGTCCCACAAGTCCATCATTAACAAACTTCCATATATTTTCACTTATAAAATGACCTAAAAGGCTAAAACGAAATGCATGACCGTGCATTCTTCCAAAAAGAGTAGGGAGCTTCTACATTTCTCAAAAGAAAATGGAGGGCTCCATTATTAATGATTTGAGTGTCTAAAATTACCCATACTTCTCCTATTCAATATTTACTTGGACAAATTTACCCTCTATTATGATGACGAGCAAAACCATGAATAGTTCATTTTTCATCAAATGAATATGACTAGAATTTGAAGCTTGGTCTGCCAGTAATGTTCTCTACTAAAATCCAACATGACATGATAATCATGAAGATAAGCTAGACAAAAAGTGAATTCGTTTAGTCATTTAGTGGAACTTGGGCACAGTTGACAAAATCCAATGGATCTTCACACAAACACGTCCCCCACTTAAGGGAATCTGTTTTTTTTTAAGCTAACTAGAAGCTTAGAGTAGAGAGCGCTACCACGCACCCTCTTCCAATCACATCCACAAGCACGGACAAACATACAAAAAGCACATAAACTCAAATAGCTTCCAATTTAGAATAACGATTCTGGCCAACAAAAAAGGGACAGAGGAAATTAAAAAAAAAAAAGTTATAAAATGCATAAATATTAAAAAGCTGCTTACAGTTATAGGCAATCTGGCTTCCATAGCCCGAGCATGGTGAACAAAACACTCTGTTGGTGGACCACTGAAACAGAATGATAGTCATAAGTCAACTCAGTGAAGGACATTTCCCCTATTAAATGTATTGTCAACACCAAGGAAATAATAGTCACACAGACAATAAAACTTAGTATCTTCCCCAAAAGTATAATGTGATGGTATCTGTAATGTGCACTGCAAAAATAGAAATTCAAGTATTAAATTCTTACTCATTTCTTGAAGCTTTTGTATCACGAGCAAACATCTTGTAGGACAGCAATTTTCCTTCTAATTTTTGCAAAAGCTGGTTTACCTTCCTTACACTAAACACAAAAGATTTTTTTTCATCTCCTAACTCATCCTTGCTGACAGAATCACAAATTCCATTATATATAAGGCTGTCAGAAGTCTCTTCATTGCCGCCGCATTGGCCTTTATCCCATCCATCGGTGAGTGGGAAAATATAAAGGTAACGCCTCCATTTGGCAGAGAAGTTTGGATGAAAGGCACGCGATACCTACAACATTTCATACTATGATTGTTATAAATTCTAAGAATGTAAGACCAGCAAACCATTTTTTTTGTTTCGTTTTCTTTGTACTCATGGCAATTGATACTTGTATCAAACATTAGCTTCACAGTGCATATTACTTATAAAGATATTACCTCATGCACAGATACGACCCTTAATTTTCCTGGTGCCGCGTCATTTATTGCATCTTCAATTTCTCTTGGCTTAATATCCTTCTTCCAAGTGTCTGTGCATGACAAACCCTGGATTAGGGAGAAAGGTCCAATCAAATCCGACAGTGTGTGAAAAAGAACCCGCTCATCTATACCTCTGTCAGTTGGTTAGTCATATTTCAATATTCAGCTTTTCATCACAGAGAATTCTTTCTTTTCAGCTTTCAGCTTTCATCACTTTCCTTTATTTACTCTCTTTCTCAACCTCGTTACTCATTTATCCATATCAATTTAACCATCAAATTAAGTTAAATTTACTAAATATAATTGTCGTTGTTGTTGTTATTGTTCTAAATATAATTGTTATTGATATACATAACACATAGTAGTGGAATGTGGAACATCTTTGTCATAAAACTGTTTATAAGAGAGATTTTGGAGGTCCAGTTTTGTCTTCTTTCATATTGAGTATCTATCAATTCATTTAAAAGAAGGTTTGGACATTGTAAAAGCAATGATAAGAAAAGGAGAACAGCTTACAGAAAGAACAAACTTGTTGAAGGGCTGTCACTCCTTTGTCTGTTCGACCAGCAACAGCAGCACAGCCTTCAATAGGCAAACCTTTGTCCTTGAGCAGTTGAATTTTATCTTCATCAACAAATTTACCAAGTGAAGCTTCTACTATGCTGTATCAAGAAATTTGTGCAAGAACAAGAAGCAGAATAAAAATCTAATAAAAAGAAATTCATTTAAACATACTTATTTGTTTGGTTTACCATATTAATATTGTAATCAAATAAATGGAAGGCATGTGTTAGACTTCTTCTAATGGCAGTTATGGGCAGATATGAGAAGTTATTATGGCAGTTATATTATCTAATTTTAGGATTAAATAGGGAAAGGATAGTAGAAACTGATGATGGGATAGTCTTTTAATGGTTTTGGGAGGGATAGACCAAGCTTTCTAATTCTTGGAGGGAGAGACCAAGCTCTCGAATTTTTGGAGGGAGAGACCAAGACTCTCGAATTTTTTGTATAGGATCATAGGAGTTGCCTTTTAATAGTATACTAATTATTTATTTAGTTTATGTGTGAATTATGTATATGCTGTAATTATGTGTACATTGTAAGCATATTTGGCCATAAATAAAAGTCAGTTATTACTATTAACCTGTTCTTTGGTACCGGTTTCTATCAGCAAATTGGCTCCAGAAGTAGAAAAGGGAGAGACAGGAGAAACACCTATACCATTTTATAACAAGTGTATCATGGTTTTGTCAAATACATTTATATATGCAACTTAGAGCATAACTAAAAAACACTAGATTATTTATATAGATCACAAAATGAGAAAGCTGATTTGCAAAAGCATGTTATATTTTATGGTATATAACCAAAACCACAACATACTCATTTTTGAAGTCTGTAACAACAACAAACAAAAAAAGAGCTCAAACAGCTATTGGTAATAATTCTGAACAATAACCACTGTTTGTTAACGTATGCTCAAGAGAATTATACTACAAACTATTGGTAATAGTTTCTAGTATGCTCA